GTTGGTTCGCCATTACCATTCGGTCGGTCTGTATCTGGAAGTCCCACAGGATCTTCGCACGCTCATTCTCCACCACCTTTGGAGGAGTTTCCCACTTAGACCTTGGGGTTTCCAGCCCATACTCTCCACAGATGTTTCTGTACACTATGCCAGCCACTTGGTTATGGCGTTCCATGTAGGCCTTCCCTATATATATATATATATATATATATATATATATAGGGAATATGTCCTGTAGGAAATATATATATATATATATATATATATATATATATATACATACAGTATATATACTGTGTTATCAGTGACCAGAGGAAGATTGATCTGTCCTGGTCTGGAGGCACATACTGGACATTAACCTGCGTTAGCCTCAACGCAGAAGAGCCAGATTTGAACATAAGCCGATTTCCTTATATGGCATTTCCGACAGCATTAGCTTTGTGCTGTAACAAGGGCAGACGTATTGTAGAGAGGTACTACCGAGGTTGGGTCGAAAAGCAATAGAGAGAAGGTATCCAGAAACCTGGGGATACTAAATGGCGCCCCTTGCACAGTAGTAGAGGGCAGTGAACAGGTGTGCAGTGAGAGCGTCTTTCAAATAAAATCAAAAGTTTAAGAAGTGCATTTTGGCGGCTCATCCCCGCGTTTCCCTTTTATTGTAAGTAAAAGCCAAAAGGGGCCACCTGCTTTTAATGTGCGGACCCCATTACCACAGACTTTGAAAAGCCAGGCCACTTTACCACAGTGAAGGAAGGGAGGGGGCGTGGCGTAATGTTGTATCATTACAAACAAATGATTTCTATCAAATAGGCTTTGCTTTGCAAAATTGCACTTTATTTTCTTTCCCATTTCTGACACATCCACGGGCCAGGTCTGCCCGTATGAACCCGGAGACTTTTACTGTAGACAACACTGTAGAAGAAAGTGGATGAATGGACCTGTCGAGGAGGGGGTGTCTATCAAGTAGCGTTTAGGAACCTAACAGCCCTGGCATCTCCAGTTGTGGAGATCCAAACTTACCAGAAAATAATATACAAACTCATGTCAAATATCAACCAGATCTTTTTAAATTAGTCCTCTGCCTAAAATAGTTTTGACAGCCCTGATCTTCAGTCCATGTGTATTTAGTACATTTAGAAGGAGAAATATATTTGAAGAAAAAAGCATTCAATTCAAACATTATTTATTTGTAATTTCATGACACACGTGGAGTCATTTTAAAAGCTACATCAATAAGAAAATCTTTTTACATGAACAGAATGTACCCAATTCTAGCATATCCTTCATTTTTTGTTTTGTTTAATTAAAAATGCAACTTTATACAGAAATAGACAGAGAGCTACATATTTCCACAGCAGGCGAGCGTTGGCCTGTAGGATTCAGCGTCTCAGAACGAGGCAAAAACAAGGCATCCAAGATCAGCAGTAGCATTTCAAGCATGATTGCTTTCTTATTTTAGCCCGCAAGTCAAAAAGTGGTTATACACAAGGCGTATTTACAAGCTGCTCCATAGGTAGCAACAACAAAAGTGTAAGATAATGTGGAAAGTATGCATGAGAGGTGTAATAATACAAAAATAAACAGTGATACAGGAAGTGAATATGAAATCTGTGCTGTGATTGGCTGGTGAAAACTGGAGACTGGTCTGTCATTGGCCAAATAATCCTGAGGTGCACAAAAATGACCAGTGAAAAAGATCATACATATTTCTTTGAGATTAAAATTGTATAAATTCAACTGTTATTTTCAACTGCAGTAAGTATTCGACAATAGTTTTTCCCCCCACAATCTGAATATTTACATTGTCAAAAAGGGACGGATTACTAACAATTTCTTTGTATCCATATAAAACTATTCAACGTTGCATAATTGTACTAATAAAAAAAAAAGGGGGGGGGTAAATTTCAATTGTTTTTTCCACAACATAGACTGTAGAAAGAGTAGACTTAGCAAGACTTTGCAAATTGGACATAAAATGCATTAGAAATAAAACGTTTTCCCCCAGCTGCTGAAATCATACTTGTAAAAAAAAGTACCCAATGAGTCACTATTGACACTTTGGGCTGAGAGTTGATTGGTTGTCCCTACCCCCCTTGGAGTCCTGGATCTACAGCCTCAGTCCTGGATCTACAGCCTCAGTCCTGGATCTACAGCATCAGCTCTGGAACTTTTTCACCTAAATATGTTAATTGGCAGCGCGTTGGTCTCACTGCACGGCGCTTCAAGAGGGAAGACCTGCCCCTCTCTTCTGATTGGCTACGAGACAAATACTCAAACTAGTATGTACACTCATTTCCATATTATCCCAGTATGAAATGACCACTTCCCGACTACATATACTCTTTCTACAGTCTATATGGACAATAACAGCCTTGAAGTCCAGTGATTTCTGTAAATTGGAACCGTCAGAAAAGGCACAAAACCATGTTGATTCAAAAGACATTAATGCGACAGAACGTGTGGGTACAAAACATGATTTGTGGAGAAGGAGGTAGAGCAGAGTTCCACAAACGCTGCCAAATATCTCTGGACAAAACTAAATTATTAGTCTTTATATGATTCAAAGATAATCTAATAGATGCACTTTTTTCACCCGCTGAAAGTTAACGCAACCGAAACTGGACATGTAGCACAAATGACTCATCACACTGCAAAAAATAAAATAACAGTCTAATTGTTAAAATAAACATGTTTTCTTGATTTCAGATCTGATTTAACAAGTTTAAGTTTTGAGTTACCATTTTAAAGATGGTCAGATAGCATTTAGCTTTTGGTATATGGACATTAAATCCTTACTGTTAATGCCATTGGATTGAAAACAAACATTTTTTTTCCCACTTGTGTTAAAATCTTTCTTCACAATTAATTCAAATATTTAACTAAACTTTAAGGATTTTTTCATAACTCAAAATTGCTTCTTGATCTAAACAATGGTACCTTGTTTCATTTGCAAATATCCGTTTTCTCATTATTTATTAAAATTATTGAAATTAATCAAACCAGAAAGTGCCAATAAGATTTCGGAAACTCTTTGTTAGCGGAGTCCTGGGAGACACAGGGAGAACATGCAAACTCCACTCAGAACGACCCTGTCTGGATGTGGGATCAAACTGTAGGACCTTCTTGAGAAGCGAAATACTCAAATGAAATCTAGCTGTCATTTCAACAATAAAGATGTTTCAAGTCTGTATTTTTTGCAGTGGACAAATCTCCCTGTTGGAATCATAGAATATTTAGCACCACACAATATGAGCAAAAATAAATAAATAAAATAATCAAAAACCTGAAAAAAAAATACATGATTCAGACGTATTTTATGGTACAGAGCTGCATGTGTGTAAAACTCCTTTACACAAGGCCTGTCCGGTTCGTTGATGAAGTCCAGTTTTGGTGTGAGCTGAATATAACTTTGAAATGACAGGCACTTTGAAATATCGAGAACAACAATCCCAATACAAAAAAAAAAAAAGAGATGAGAATGAAGCGCGGATAACGGGTTAGCTTGTGTGCAAATGTTGGTAGGTACTAGGAAAATCCACACTTAAAGGGTCTGTACCTGATTATACATATCAAGTAGTCAAAAACACTGTTAGCTTGAGTTAGCCACACTAGCCAGAGCTAGCTAGTTGACCAGAGTTAGCAAAACTACCCAGTTAGCCATAGTTAGCTACACTACCCAGTTAGCTGGAGTTAGCCACACCAGGCACTCTAGTTAACAAATTGGCTACAGTAGCAAGAGTTAGCTAGAGTTAGCCACACTAGCTATTGTTAGCATGTGTTAGCTCTTGTTAGCCACATTACCAAGAGTGAACCCTGGTAAATAGTTAGCCACTCTTCTAACTGTTAGCCCGAGTTAGCTCAATTTATACTTCATGATAGGGCTGAAGAGGTTGTTTTTAGCATTTTACGGTTTCTCAAGTCTCAATGTTCAGATTAAAAACACTCTATTCTATGTTAACGACATGTTTGCACAGAAGGTAACACATTTTGCTCAAATACAAGGAAAGAAATCAGGTAGTTACATCCTCTTAAAGTGAACAGTTGGCCCTTTAAAAACAAGTAAATGAACAAAAATAAAAACATCAGTGTAAAAAAGTACATTCTGTTTCTCATACATTAAAATAAATATAAAATCAAATCTTCTTACGAATGTAATATAACATAGTACTGTTAGCTATGCATTGGGCCCGCCACTTAAAATCAATAAATTAGTGCCATTGTTAAGATATTTCTCTGTTTAAAAAAATTATCTAAAAATTGTTTGAAGTATTAAAAAAATGCCCAGTACAATCTTGAATGTGTGCAGCAAAATCATTTGAATAAACATTTGCAAATCGTGCTCCTGGAACATTATTTGGTACCAATGCAAATGGAGCCACAAGGTCAAAAGGCTAAAATATATTCAACAAACAAAACGAAGACCCATAGAATTTTGGAAAAGGCAGGTCCGTTGTGTTATGACATTACAAAAGTTAAAACGTCCGCAGAATACACGTTGCAATGCATGCTCTTCGGACTAATTAGAAGCCGTGGGGTTTTGTGCTAGTAAAGTTTTGGGCATGACATTGTCTCTTTAGTCCTGCCAACTGCTTTTCCAGTTGACAAAAAAATCCAAAATGGCTGCCAGTCCAACATTGTCAGAAATGTGGTGAGAATCTGTGACATCTTAGTAATTTGTGAGTTAGTTTGTGGTTATATTTTTGTCCTGCTGCTGGTAATAGTCATACACAGATTTTACAATCCAGTCTAATTTGAAAAAACTAAGCTTAAGATCGCCCTAGTTTGGTGACTATAGCCAATCCAATGCAGAACATCAAAGAGAGAGCCATTTCCACAAAGACTGGGTTGCCAAATCTGAAGTTTGCGTGTCCCTTTTTATCAGTGTTGTGGCAGTGAGGTTGTGGGCCGTCTCGAACACTGGCAGTGCGTTGGTCTGAGGTTGTGTAGCGGTGGCAGTGGTGTGTGTTGCTCGCGTGCACAATGGAAGAAGCAGGGAGGGGTCACTCGACGGAGCCCTCGCCCCGCTCCTCTGCACATGTGCTGGGGGTGGAGGCGGCGGGCTCTTGGGTCCGGTGCTTGCATTGACCCAGAGAATGACGTCCACTGGATCTCGACGGTCGGGAGAAGCCGCAGTCACACACAGATTCCTGGGAAAAAAAATATTAGAAATGATTACTCACAAAACAACACTGCAAATAGTGATGAAAACTAAGTAAAAAAATTGCTAAAAATTTTGGCTTCAAACGAGATTTGCCAGTGGAACAAGCAAAATTATCTTGTTCTTAAAAAGTTGCAAGAAATGTCATACTTGGAATCAGAAAATAAATCCGTTCTTGAAAAAAGACTAAATTACTTTGTCCCATTGGCAAAGCTTGTTTTAAGTCAGAAAGTACTCACATTAAGATAAAGAAACACTCAGCTTCAGGCAAAGTGAGGTTAAGTGTCCTCCAAGGACACAATGACAGCAAACATCAGTGGAATGCATTGGCCTCAGTCCTCACCTCAGTCCTCACCTCAGTCCTCACCTCAGTCCTCACCTCAGTCCTCACCTCAGTCCTCGTCCTCACCTCAGTCTCAGTCCTCACCTCAGTCCTCACCTCAGTCCTCACCTCAGTCCTCACCTCAGTCCTCACCTCAGTCTCAGTCCTCACCTCAGTCCTCACCTCAGTCCTCGCCTCAGTCCTCGCCTCAGTCCTCGCCTCAGTCCTCGCCTCAGTCCTCGCCTCAGTCCTCGCCTCAGTCCTCACCTCTGTCCTCACCTCTGTCCTCACCTCAGTCCTCACCTCAGTCCTCACCTCAGTCCTCACCTCAGTCCTCACCTCTGTCCTCACCTCAGTCCTCACCTCAGTCCTCACCTCAGTCCTCACCTCAGTCTCAGTCCTCACCTCAGTCCTCACCTCAGTCCTCACCTCTGTCCTCGCCTCAGTCCTCGCCTCAGTCCTCACCTCAGTCTCAGTCCTCACCTCAGTCCTCACCTCAGTCCTCACCTCAGTCCTCACCTCAGTCCTCACCTCAGTCCTCACCTCAGTCCTCACCTCAGTCCTCACCTCTGTCCTCGCCTCAGTCCTCGCCTCAGTCCTCGCCTCAGTCCTCACCTCAGTCCTCGCCTCAGTCCTCGCCTCAGTCCTCACCTCAGTCCTCACCTCAGTCCTCACCTCAGTCTCACCTCACCTCAGTCCTCAGTCCTCACCTCAGTCCTCACCTCAGTCCTCACCTCAGTCCTCACCTCTGTCCTCACCTCAGTCCTCACCTCAGTCCTCACCTCAGTCCTCACCTCAGTCCTCACCTCTGTCCTCACCTCTGTCCTCGCCTCAGTCCTCGCCTCAGTCCTCGCCTCAGTCCTCGCCTCAGTCCTCGCCTCAGTCCTCGCCTCTGTCCTCACCTCAGTCCTCACCTCTGTCCTCCCTCAGTCCTCGCCTCAGTCCTCGCCTCTGTCCTTGCCTCTGTCCTCACCTCTGTCCTCACCTCTGTCCTCACCTCTGTCCTCACCTCAGTCCTCGCCTCTGTCCTTGCCTCTGTCCTCACCTCTGTCCTCACCTCTGTCCTCACCTCAGTCCTCACCTCTGTCCTCGCCTCAGTCCTCGCCTCAGTCCTCACCTCTGTCCTCGCCTCAGTCCTCGCCTCAGTCCTCGCCTCAGTCCTCGCCTCAGTCCTCGCCTCAGTCCTCGCCTCTGTCCTCGCCTCAGTCCTCGCCTCTGTCCTCGCCTCAGTCCTCGCCTAGTCCTCGCCTCTGTCCTCACCTCTGTCCTCACCTCTGTCCTCACCTCAGTCCTCACCTCAGTCCTCACCTCTGTCCTCGCCTCAGTCCTCGCCTCAGTCCTCGCCTCAGTCCTCGCCTCAGTCCTCGCCTCAGTCCTCGCCTCAGTCCTCACCTCTGTCCTCACCTCAGTCCTCACCTCAGTCCTCACCTCAGTCTCAGTCCTCACCTCAGTCCTCACCTCAGTCCTCACCTCAGTCCTCGCCTCAGTCCTCGCCTCAGTCCTCACCTCAGTCTCAGTCCTCACCTCAGTCCTCACCTCAGTCCTCACCTCAGTCCTCGCCTCAGTCCTCACCTCAGTCCTCACCTCAGTCTCAGTCCTCACCTCAGTCCTCACCTCAGTCCTCACCTCAGTCCTCGCCTCAGTCCTCGCCTCAGTCCTCGCCTCAGTCCTCGCCTCAGTCCTCGCCTCAGTCCTCGCCTCAGTCCTCACCTCAGTCCTCACCTCAGTCCTCACCTCAGTCTCAGTCCTCACCTCAGTCTCAGTCCTCACCTCAGTCCTCACCTCAGTCCTCACCTCAGTCCTCACCTCTGTCCTCACCTCTGTCCTCACCTCAGTCCTCACCTCAGTCCTCACCTCAGTCCTCACCTCAGTCCTCGCCTCTGTCCTCGCCTCTGTCCTCGCCTCAGTCCTCGCCTCAGTCCTCGCCTCAGTCCTCGCCTCAGTCCTCGCCTCAGTCCTCGCCTCTGTCCTCACCTCAGTCCTCACCTCTGTCCTCGCCTCAGTCCTCGCCTCAGTCCTCGCCTCTGTCCTTGCCTCTGTCCTCACCTCTGTCCTCACCTCTGTCCTCGCCTCTGTCCTCACCTCTGTCCTCACCTCTGTCCTCACCTCAGTCCTCACCTCAGTCCTCACCTCTGTCCTCGCCTCAGTCCTCGCCTCAGTCCTCGCCTCAGTCCTCGCCTCAGTCCTCGCCTCAGTCCTCGCCTCAGTCCTCGCCTCAGTCCTCGCCTCTGTCCTCGCCTCAGTCCTCGCCTCTGTCCTCGCCTCTGTCCTCACCTCTGTCCTCACCTCTGTCCTCACCTCTGTCCTCACCTCAGTCCTCACCTCAGTCCTCACCTCAGTCCTCACCTCAGTCCTCACCTCAGTCCTCACCTCTGTCCTCACCTCTGTCCTCGCCTCAGTCCTCGCCTCAGTCCTCGCCTCAGTCCTCGCCTCTGTCCTCGCCTCTGTCCTTGCCTCTGTCCTCACCTCAGTCTCAGTCCTCACCTCAGTCCTCACCCCAGTCTCAGTCCTCACCTCAGTCCTCACCTCAGTCCTCACCTCAGTCCTCACCTCAGTCCTCACCTCAGTCCTCACCTCAGTCCTCACCTCAGTCCTCACCTCAGTCCTCACCTCAGTCCTCACCTCAGTCCTCACCTCAGTCCTCACCTCAGTCCTCACCTCAGTCCTCACCTCAGTCCTCACCTCAGTCCTCACCTCTGTCCTCGCCTCAGTCCTCACCTCTGTCCTCGCCTCTGTCCTCGCCTCAGTCCTCGCCTCAGTCCTCGCCTCAGTCCTCGCCTCTGTCCTCGCCTCTGTCCTCGCCTCTGTCCTCGCCTCAGTCCTCGCCTCAGTCCTCGCCTCAGTCCTCGCCTCAGTCCTCGCCTCAGTCCTCGCCTCTGTCCTCACCTCAGTCCTCACCTCTGTCCTCGCCTCAGTCCTCGCCTCAGTCCTCGCCTCAGTCCTCGCCTCTGTCCTCGCCTCTGTCCTCACCTCTGTCCTCACCTCTGTCCTCACCTCAGTCCTCACCTCAGTCCTCACCTCTGTCCTCACCTCTGTCCTCGCCTCAGTCCTCGCCTCTGTCCTCGCCTCTGTCCTCGCCTCAGTCCTCGCCTCAGTCCTCGCCTCAGTCCTCGCCTCAGTCCTCGCCTCTGTCCTCGCCTCAGTCCTCGCCTCAGTCCTCGCCTCAGTCCTCGCCTCAGTCCTCGCCTCAGTCCTCGCCTCAGTCCTCGCCTCAGTCCTCGCCTCTGTCCTCGCCTCAGTCCTCGCCTCTGTCCTCGCCTCTGTCCTCACCTCTGTCCTCACCTCTGTCCTCACCTCTGTCCTCACCTCAGTCCTCACCTCAGTCCTCACCTCAGTCCTCACCTCAGTCCTCACCTCTGTCCTCACCTCTGTCCTCGCCTCAGTCCTCGCCTCAGTCCTCGCCTCAGTCCTCGCCTCTGTCCTCGCCTCAGTCCTCGCCTCTGTCCTTGCCTCTGTCCTCACCTCAGTCTCAGTCCTCACCTCAGTCCTCACCCCAGTCTCAGTCCTCACCTCAGTCCTCACCTCAGTCCTCACCTCAGTCCTCACCTCAGTCCTCACCTCAGTCCTCACCTCAGTCCTCACCTCAGTCCTCACCTCTGTCCTCACCTCAGTCCTCACCTCAGTCCTCACCTCAGTCCTCACCTCAGTCCTCACCTCAGTCCTCACCTCAGTCCTCACCTCAGTCCTCACCTCAGTCCTCACCTCAGTCCTCACCTCAGTCCTCACCTCAGTCCTCACCTCAGTCCTCACCTCAGTCCTCACCTCTGTCCTCGCCTCTGTCCTCGCCTCAGTCCTCACCTCAGTCCTCACCTCAGTCCTCACCTCTGTCCTCACCTCTGTCCTCACCTCTGTCCTCACCTCTGTCCTCGCCTCTGTCCTCGCCTCAGTCCTCGCCTCTGTCCTCGCCTCTGTCCTCGCCTCAGTCCTCGCCTCAGTCCTCGCCTCTGTCCTTGCCTCTGTCCTCACCTCTGTCCTCACCTCTGTCCTCACCTCTGTCCTCACCTCAGTCCTCACCTCAGTCCTCACCTCTGTCCTCACCTCTGTCCTCACCTCTGTCCTCACCTCTGTCCTCGCCTCTGTCCTCGCCTCAGTCCTCGCCTCTGTCCTCGCCTCTGTCCTCGCCTCAGTCCTCGCCTCAGTCCTCGCCTCAGTCCTCGCCTCTGTCCTCGCCTCAGTCCTCGCCTCAGTCCTCGCCTCAGTCCTCGCCTCTGTCCTCGCCTCAGTCCTCGCCTCTGTCCTCGCCTCTGTCCTCACCTCTGTCCTCACCTCTGTCCTCACCTCTGTCCTCACCTCAGTCCTCACCTCAGTCCTCACCTCAGTCCTCACCTCAGTCCTCACCTCTGTCCTCACCTCTGTCCTCGCCTCAGTCCTCGCCTCAGTCCTCGCCTCAGTCCTCGCCTCTGTCCTCGCCTCAGTCCTCGCCTCTGTCCTTGCCTCTGTCCTCACCTCAGTCTCAGTCCTCACCTCAGTCCTCACCCCAGTCTCAGTCCTCACCTCAGTCCTCACCTCAGTCCTCACCTCAGTCCTCACCTCAGTCCTCACCTCAGTCCTCACCTCAGTCCTCACCTCAGTCCTCACCTCTGTCCTCACCTCAGTCCTCACCTCTGTCCTCACCTCAGTCCTCACCTCAGTCTCAGTCCTCACCTCAGTCCTCACCTCAGTCCTCACCTCAGTCCTCACCTCAGTCCTCACCTCAGTCCTCACCTCAGTCCTCACCTCAGTCCTCACCTCAGTCCTCACCTCAGTCCTCACCTCAGTCCTCACCTCTGTCCTCACCTCAGTCCTCACCTCAGTCCTCACCTCAGTCCTCACCTCAGTCCTCACCTCTGTCCTCGCCTCTGTCCTCGCCTCTGTCCTCGCCTCTGTCCTCGCCTCAGTCCTCGCCTCTGTCCTCGCCTCTGTCCTCGCCTCAGTCCTCGCCTCAGTCCTCGCCTCAGTCCTCGCCTCTGTCCTCGCCTCTGTCCTCGCCTCTGTCCTCGCCTCTGTCCTCGCCTCAGTCCTCGCCTCAGTCCTCGCCTCAGTCCTCGCCTCTGTCCTCGCCTCAGTCCTCGCCTCTGTCCTCGCCTCTGTCCTCACCTCTGTCCTCACCTCTGTCCTCACCTCTGTCCTCACCTCAGTCCTCACCTCAGTCCTCACCTCAGTCCTCACCTCAGTCCTCACCTCAGTCCTCACCTCTGTCCTCACCTCTGTCCTCGCCTCAGTCCTCGCCTCAGTCCTCGCCTCAGTCCTCGCCTCTGTCCTCGCCTCAGTCCTCGCCTCTGTCCTCGCCTCTGTCCTTGCCTCTGTCCTCACCTCAGTCTCAGTCCTCACCTCAGTCCTCACCCCAGTCTCAGTCCTCACCTCAGTCCTCACCTCAGTCCTCACCTCAGTCCTCACCTCAGTCCTCACCTCAGTCCTCACCTCAGTCCTCACCTCAGTCCTCACCTCAGTCCTCACCTCTGTCCTCACCTCAGTCCTCACCTCAGTCTCAGTCCTCACCTCAGTCCTCACCTCAGTCCTCACCTCAGTCCTCACCTCAGTCCTCACCTCAGTCCTCACCTCAGTCCTCACCTCAGTCCTCACCTCAGTCCTCACCTCAGTCCTCACCTCAGTCCTCACCTCTGTCCTCACCTCTGTCCTCACCTCAGTCCTCACCTCAGTCCTCACCTCTGTCCTCGCCTCTGTCCTCGCCTCTGTCCTCGCCTCTGTCCTCGCCTCAGTCCTCGCCTCAGTCCTCGCCTCAGTCCTCGCCTCTGTCCTCACCTCAGTCCTCACCTCTGTCCTCGCCTCAGTCCTCGCCTCAGTCCTCGCCTCTGTCCTTGCCTCTGTCCTCACCTCTGTCCTCACCTCTGTCCTCACCTCTGTCCTCACCTCAGTCCTCACCTCAGTCCTCACCTCTGTCCTCACCTCTGTCCTCACCTCTGTCCTCGCCTCAGTCCTCGCCTCAGTCCTCGCCTCTGTCCTCGCCTCAGTCCTCGCCTCTGTCCTCGCCTCAGTCCTCGCCTCAGTCCTCGCCTCAGTCCTCGCCTCAGTCCTCGCCTCAGTCCTCGCCTCAGTCCTCGCCTCAGTCCTCGCCTCAGTCCTCGCCTCTGTCCTCGCCTCAGTCCTCGCCTCTGTCCTTGCCTCTGTCCTCACCTCAGTCTCAGTCCTCACCTCAGTCCTCACCCCAGTCTCAGTCCTCACCTCAGTCCTCACCTCAGTCCTCACCTCAGTCCTCACCTCAGTCCTCACCTCAGTCCTCACCTCTGTCCTCACCTCAGTCCTCACCTCAGTCTCAGTCCTCACCTCAGTCCTCACCTCAGTCCTCACCTCAGTCCTCACCTCAGTCCTCACCTCAGTCCTCACCTCAGTCCTCACCTCAGTCCTCACCTCAGTCCTCACCTCAGTCCTCACCTCAGTCCTCACCTCTGTCCTCGCCTCAGTCCTCACCTCAGTCCTCACCTCAGTCCTCACCTCAGTCCTCGCCTCAGTCCTCGCCTCAGTCCTCGCCTCTGTCCTCGCCTCTGTCCTCGCCTCTGTCCTCGCCTCAGTCCTCGCCTCAGTCCTCGCCTCAGTCCTCGCCTCAGTCCTCGCCTCTGTCCTCACCTCAGTCCTCACCTCTGTCCTCGCCTCAGTCCTCGCCTCAGTCCTCGCCTCTGTCCTTGCCTCTGTCCTCACCTCTGTCCTCACCTCTGTCCTCACCTCTGTCCTCACCTCAGTCCTCACCTCAGTCCTCACCTCTGTCCTCACCTCAGTCCTCACCTCTGTCCTCACCTCTGCCCTTACCTCAGTCCCAACGCCTCCTCCCATGATGCAGCTGATCTCCTCTCCGGCCGTCTGCCTCATGAACCTTTTGTTGACGATGCGTGTGACCGGGTCCTGAGTCACCCCGAGTCCGACCAGTGCCCCCGGGCAGGCCCCCACTGAGAGGCACTCGGGTTTGGCTTCATCCACCCCCAACAGGGCCTCTCGTGGGGGCCGCTCCCCTGCCACAGACACTCCCGCCTGGGCTCGGCTGCAGAGGTCCTGGAAACCCCCGTAGCGCTCGGAGGAAGTTCTCCCCGTGACAAAAGGCTGACGAGCCGGACTCACTGTGAGAGGAACACAAGAGTGGTGCAAAAAAGGAAATTAGTCATATCACAGCTGTGTTTTATGTTACTGCAGTTTTTGTGGGTAATTTGGACATACAATTTGAGAAGCTTAAATATTTTTTTCAGGTATGTTTTATAGGACAAAAAGTTTTCAATGAGACCAAATGTTAAGTTACTTAAGTTTATTGGGACTCCTCTTTCATTTTCAATTAGAATTTCCCAGTTTTTTTTAATTCAAATTGAGTTGTCATTAGAATTTCATCTTAGATTATAGGTTATTAGATTAGGGCCATTTAATGACTTGACATGAAAATATTACATATGGCTACTTCTTAGAGCATATTTTTCCAGCCTTAAACATCTGAGCCTGCAGCCCAGACCCATAGCCAGCGCTGTTTTTATATTTTGCTTTGGCATTATGGTGTAATTGGAATCAGATGTGACCCTGGTGCAGTTGTGGTACCTGGCTCTCCTCTCCACAGGCTCTCGGTGCTCCCCGCGTGCTCCACCACACTGAAGAGGCTGGACAGGCCGTCGGTCAGCCCGCTCAGCACAGGACTGTCCCGAGTCGTGGTGGAGCGAGCCCAGGCCGAACCTCCAGGCCTCTGCTGCAGACTCCACACACTCCTGTCCCGGGACGAGGAGGACGTGTCCAGGCGAGACGTTGATCCTAGAGATGAGGAAGAACCAAAGTGGAAGCACCAAAGTATTATTGTCTCTTTTTTAATAAACGCTGTCAGTATAAAAACAGGATTTGCCAATGGAACATGCTAAAATATCTTGTGTTTTTAAAAGAGAAAAGCTAATTCTTTCCAGGAATCACAACCTTATACCCGTCCTTTTGGAAAATATTCTTGCTTGTGCTTCCATCTCTCCCTCTCCATACAGTGCATCACTCCCGTCTCTTTCGAGTCACTCGAATTTAGACAGCGCTTTAGTTTTTTGACAGCTCCGTAAATTCTCTAAAGGACCCCACTGCGCACATAGCCACCTTCGGGCCGCCTATTTACGAAACGCTTTGGGTGAAAATGTCATGTACTTGATGGAAAATTCTAATCCCTGAAGAATATATATGACCCTACTCAATCGCTTGAAGTTTAATAGCCCCATATGTTCCATGCAGGTCCTAAGCAAAAAGCTAAAAATAATAATAGTAAAAGTATGAAATGAAAAGCTGTAATGGGGAGGGACTGACCTGCAGAGACGCGGCGTTGCAGTTTGGGAGAGCCGTACTTGGGCGAGCAGCAGGGCCGGTCGATGCGTCCGTGAACCTTGTCCAGAGACGTGGAGATGTGTCTGGATCGAGCGGAGGCCAGCGGGTGAGTGGTGGAGCCGCTGGGGCGAGGGGACCAGGCCTTGGAAGGGAGAGGCCTGGAGGTGGTGATGGGAGGGGAGTCCGTCTGCAGAGCCACACTGATGCACAGCAGCGAGGTCTGGGTGGAGCGCGACAATGTGCCCATCACCTGCCGGAGAGAGAGGATAACGTTTGTTCCAGCCATTACTTTCTTGAGGTGAGGTGAAATGAATGTCCAATTTTATGAATGATTATTGCGTTACAGTGGGCGTGGCATGGGTGTGTGGTTGGGGATGTGTTATCATGGGTGGGCTCTCCAGTGCAGGTGCGTGAGTGACTGGGTGAGCACATAGTTTTTGACTGCTTTTATCAGCTCAATGAGCCAAGTATTCTTTTTTTGTAAATCCATAAACCGTATAAAATTAAAGGCTCAAGTTTACTGCGTCAATTCTCCCTCCCAGTCACAAATGGTCTGTACAACCTTATTATTACATGTGCTATAGTTTGATGGATACACACACTGCAAAAATAAGATAAAACTAGAGGTTACAAATGCTTGAATCAAGTGGTTTTTATCTTAATTTGAGTACATTCTCTGATTGTCTTAAAACAAGACTTTACAGGGGGACAAAGCCATTTTTTTTTCTCATTCCATTGAAGATATTTCTTGTATATTTTTAAAACAAGACCCCTCTGCATCGACAAGGAACAACTCAAAAAAAAAAAAAAGTTTTGTTAACACAGTCAGGGTTGTACGCACCGGACTTCCTGGATCCTTGCTGGACTTCCTCTCCAGAGAAGACGAGCGGATGGCCTGCCGCACACAGTTTGTCATCTCCTTCATGTCGTCGCTCAGATTTGCCGAGATCTCTCCCATCTGGAAATCCGAGAACGGGGACGGAGGCAGCCTGCTCAGCACCGGCACCGCTCTGCACTCCAACAGCTCCCTGTGCTGGGCCGACAACGAGCTCAGCCACTGCTCGTACGACCAAGAAGCTCCAGTGACATCCGGGCCTCCAGAGGTCACGGGGGAATCCAGAGAGGAGCATCCATTCTGGGGCTGAGGCGGTTCCGAGGGCCCCTGCCGGCTCCGGAGCTGTTCCATTCGGCGGACGGTGGGGGGGCTGTAGTAAATGCGGATGCCGGTGCGGTCTGGGGCCGTGTAGCTTCTCGGAGCCGAGTCCAAGTCCTGGTCCGAGTTCAGACTGGAGCCGTCCCAGGTCTTGCAGGTGTCGCCCCCTTCTGGCGTCTGTGGGGAAATACCATGGATCTATTACAATTAGGGCTGTCAAAATTGTCGCGTTAACTCGCGTTAATTACATTTTTCATTAACGCGTTAAAAAAAATTAACGCATGTCCGAATGACCCGCCCATTTATCCATAATATCACTCGAAATGCCGTGTTTTATCACTGTTGTTTGCTATCAACTGAAGTACGGCTCCCAGGGCACACCGCGGGGGCATTTGCGGCCACTCTGGTTGTTGTTAGTGGCTGTGAGCGAATGGCGCCGCGGTTGGACCATACATGCCACTGGACTCTCTGCATGTTGTGTGCTTGCAACCTGCGCGTAATTTGTGCACGCAAATATACCGCGGAAGTGTCTGTGTCTCAGAATCAGAATCAGAAATTTGTGGCCTCTCACCTCATTGGTCAGATTGGTCCAGTTCTTCCTGGTGATGTCATAGGGCTCTGGACGAATCATGAGAGACATTTTGCCCAACTGCTCTGCGGCGCCGTTCAAGTCCAGGTCTGCTGTGGATTTGGTCCTATTTTAAAGAGAGGAAACAAAAAAAAAAAATTTGTAAAATGTATCATAACAAGAAAGAGATTGTGTTCATATATTTTAACTTATTCTGTTACCTTGGTGACACAGAGCCATTCGTGATCAAAGCATCCGCAGACTGTGGTGAGACAAATGAAAAGAAAATAAAGTTCAATAAAAGCTTTGAATATAAAACAATGAGGTTTAATAAAATCTCTAAAGATTCAAAGTGCTGGGATTGGAACATCTGACAAATAAGGACATTTATTAACATTTAAGGACAGTGGTCATCTGCTCCTTATGAACCAATGGATGTGTTACTTATTATTATAATCTCTGTGTTTAAACTGTTTGATTCTCTGATCTGTAATCAACAACCTTATAAAGTCAAACATATGACCATCAAACGTTAATGTGTCGTTCAAATTTCAGGGTCAAATCCAACATTTCGACAGCTGTTTAAGGCTTTGGTGTGTAGATTATTTCCACTACCATGCCATTGGTCAGAGAAGATTCTATTCACAAGTAGTAATAGGAATTTACAAAGTTGTTGATTTGCCATTACAAATCAGAGAATCAAAGAGTTCAAACACAAATACAAAAAAGTGTTCAAATGTAACAATAAAAAACACATGGTCCATTAGGGACAGATGTCTGTTCATGTTAATAGATGTCCAAAAAAGACCTTTAATGTCTTGGATCATCATCTGCCAAAAATATCTTTTTTGTTCTACATTTATATAAATATTGCCTTTTTTCTCTGCTATTTATTGGCTCAGTATTTGAGCATTTTCCAACGACAACTTCATATGACCTGCAATCTGTCTGCTTTACTCAACACTGTCCTGAAGGGGGCAGTATCAGCATTTGTAAAATACTGAATCTCCATCAGTACATGCTAAAGCTGGAGGTGTTATACTTGCTTTCTGTTATGCTAACGCTTATTTCATTTAGTTTACAGTGTTTACTCAGTCTTGTGCTGAGTGCTCCCCATTCCCACTGTTCTGTAACCGGTGATGCAACACTGAAGTTTCCCCACTGTAAAAGATCTCTTAATCTTGGCACCTTGCTGTGTGCAGTGGCCTCCCTGAGTCTCTGTTCCCACTGGACTCTCTCTGCACTGAATCTCTCCAGCAGGTCCAGCTTCTCCCGTCCCCAGTTCCTTTCCCCAATCTGCAACTACAAACACAAACATCAAATAAGTGAGAAAGTGACGATTCGAGGAAAGTATTGTGAAATTTGGCACTTGCAAGCAGGCGTCCGGTGCATGGCTGAAGCTAAAACAGACTACCGTTACTGGTTTTTGTTTTGATGAAGGAATAATGTAGTAACATAGTGTGTTTTCGTACGCAGACCCTGTGTCTTTTGACCCGTGTTGAGATGCCGTATTGACCCGGGACAACCGTGGGAAGAGGAAGCGTGTTGTCCAGACCTCTGTTTGACTTTCACCACAGTAAAGACAGAAACGTGTCAAAATGAAAGGCTCAAAACAAACTTCAGCCTTTAGAAATAAGTCTTCTAAAGTCACAGCCACAGACTGTATATTAAGAGTGGGCTGGCCATATCCAATGAAAAGTGAGGTAGTAGTAGTAGTAGTAGTAGTAGAAGTAATTGTTCTCTGGCAATAAGATCATTCCAGAGTCAAGAGGTGTGGCATAGCATTTTCTCTCACTCGATAAATCCGAGTAGTAGTAGCAATACTAGTAGTAGTAGTAGTAGTTTGGGGACAGAAGGCCCCTGATTGGTTTGTTGTTCGGGCTCAAATCTGGATTTAAAAAGTCAATATCACAATAAAACACCGGGAGCTCAGAGAAAGTGCTGAACCCCCTTTTTTTTTATAGCTCAAAGCACAGTGCACCCAGGACGAGGGGGTGCATACTGTATTGGAAAAAATACACATTTTTGACATGACGAAGAGCTTAAAAAAAGGTGATTTTGATTATTATTATTGTGTTTCTGTACGAACCCCCACAGTAGGCCTATACCTCCTCTCACCTGTTTGGTCAGGTCCATGACTGCAGCGTAAGACTCGGCTAACAGGTGCTGGTGCTCTTCACGCTCCTTCTTCAGCGCCACCTTCAGGTCAGTGGCTTCCACAGCATCCGCAGAGCTCACAGGTTTACCGCCTTTAGTCTCCAACTACAACAAGAATGAACCAGTCGTTATGAAGACAATACATTCAACTGAAGGGTTGTATTGTCACTCGTTTTAATGTGATTATTTATGCCTTTTAAGGCCTTGTGTGATTGTTTCTTTCTTGTTTTGTTAAGCACTTTGAGTTACCTTGTGTATAGACTGTGCTATACAAATAAACTTGCCTTGTCTTAAATTAAAGTTGATACATTTTTGAATAAATAAATGATGTACCTAGAACAAAAGCTAGCAATCCTGTTTCCCCTAGCCCTCCTTGAGATCGCAACTGGGCAGCGTAGAGACCCAAGCAACCTACCCACCACAAACCAGTATTCAGGGAAATTCCTAAGTAACTAGGGTCCAGAATTTCCCTATTCCATAAATTAAAGTTAAAACACTTTAGTACTGGTTGGACCCAGGGCTTTCAACTCCCAATCACAAAGCCACTACTGCCATCGACCTTACAAAAAAAACTTGTGTAATAAAATCCATATAACTAGATCGACTGCCCTCTCGACCCAGCAGCAGAAAAAGCGGAAGACAATGAATGGATGGATAGATGTATGTAAATAAGGCCATGTAGACTAAGGACTAATGGGTGCTTAATAGATACCAATTAATTTTGCTTGTAAAATTGTTGCATGCCATTTTTTCCAGTCTGACTGGGCAGTGATCAAAGATATGAGATATGATCCATTTTTACCAATATATTTTCACTAGAGACTAAATTGTCTGCATGTTTGTTGCTGGTAACATTTTCCACCAGAGAAAGCAGACCCTCCCACTGCATCAGTCAGAGGCAGACGCTGATCCTGGCTTGAGGTCTGGTGAGTGCTTTCTCTCCGTCTCCACTCGTTTGTGAAGTGGTTACGATGAATGCGCTCCCTAGACCACAGCTGGCCCCACAGAGAAAAACAGGTGCTTCCAACATGGCCGCCGCACACAAGACACACAATATGTCAACAAACAAAACCAGAATGCGTCTTTGATCTACTTTTCCAACAGTGCAAGGCACCATTAGTTACAAAGGTGGAAACTGGTTGAAATATTAATAGTTTTCCACCAAGGAGGGGTCTCAAACTTAGGCAAGACACTTCCCCCACAGTGCCTTGAATAAGTCTGGTGTGTGAGTGAATGGTTGGTGGTGATCGCTTCTGTCAGTGTGCCCCAGGGCAGGTGTGGCTACAGTAGTGGTTTATCACCAGTGTGTGTGGAGTGAAAGAATAATGACGTGAAGCGTCTTTTGAGTGTCCAAAAAAAGTGCTGTTTAAAACTTATGGATTACTGTCAATTTTCAAAACCACAGCATGAAACTTTCTGGAGATGGACTTTTTTCTATAGAATGTTTTTATGGTTGTTCTCATTCAAGTCTCATTCAAAGTGAAAATGTGACCATATCAGTCAGTGTTTCTGCCATAAAGTGATGTGTTTGCGTTCCTTCCGCTGTTGTGGATTTTAACGGCTGCCATCTTTAATCTGCAGCTCGGGCAGAACCTCACATCTGTCACAGACCCTCACGCCGCTCTGTCCCTGCAGCTCGGACCGTGACGACTCGTTTATGGAAGAGAACAGAGCCGGTAATGCTCCTGTCTGTTCCAGTGTTTGGATTGAGACGTGGGCCGGGGTGGAGGAGGGGGTAAGAGGAGGGAGGGAGGAGAGGGGAGGCGCTGGAGAGGAGCCAAGAGGACGAGGTGCTGATGATGTGCATGGGTGAGCGGACATCCATCAAATCTCCTTGCGCACACGCACACGCACACACACACACACACACACACACACACACACACACACACACACACACACACACACACACACACACACACACACACACACACACACACACACACACACACACACACACAGTTGGGAGTAAGGCAAAAGTAAAATTCCTTAAATGTATTGCTTTTTGCTGTAATGCACTGATGTATGGCATTATAACACAAACTGGGCAATATTCTACTGGGTACAAATGTCAGCAATGTCGGCTATATAACGTATAATGTCGCTATAAAAGTATTTTTCTTTCTTGCCAAAATCTGCACCAAATGCAGCCAAAAGTGTTGTTCCTTTCTGGTAGAGGATGGCTGAAGCTGAACAGAAGCAGGCACTACACTGGACCACAGCACATTTTACAGATGGACAGACTCCCATTATTTTCATTTTGTTGGAGAGAAAGATGTGGAACGTTTAGTGCACTTTAATCAAACAGATCAAACACACATGAACTGCTCTATAAACAAAAGTGTATGTTTATATGTGTGTGTGAGAATGTGTGTACGTGTGTGTGTGTGTGTGAGTATGTGAGAGAGAGTGAATGGCCAGGGAAAACAAGTCAAATGTGGTCATCAGCTCGAAATGAAGTGGGAAAGAAATAAAACTTGTAGCCTCCCACCCCATGAGCATTGAATGATTAAACCTTTACACAAATTTGTTGAGTTTTGTGCGATTTAACTCGTAACAAAAAAAAAAGTTTTAACCTGTAAGATCATATTCTTCAGCTCTGCCCGCTCCACTTCCCACGATGCCTTGGCTTTAGCAAACTGCTGCGTCAGCTCCTGGGATCCCTGTCTCTCCTGCTGCAACTCTGCGCTCAGCTCCTGCAGCGCCACCCGCAGGTCGGCCAGAGTACTGCTGACGGCGCTGGACTGTGGAGGAGAACAGAACAGTCAGGTGTGGCTCTGAGGAGAAGGAGTTGAGAAGGAGATGTAGTAGTAGTATTTGTACTTTGATGGTGGGACTGGGCGGGTGTGCGTCCGCAGCCTGGTGAGACGGGCTACGCTTTTCTTCGTCCAACAGAAGATAGAGGTCCTTCAGGCTGTTGATCTGAAAAATAATGATTAAGATTAAGAGATGTATTTGTCCCACAGTGGGGAAATGTCTGTGCTGCATCAGTGGTTCCAGAACAGTAGGAATGAGGAGCACACAGCACAAGATAAATGAACTCTATACTACATTTGTTTTAATCCTCTCTGCATTTGTGAAAAGAAGTCATCTCCAAACTGTTTTTGTTTTATTCTTGTACTGTTTGCTTTTTTTATTCCCGTACTTTTCAGCATGTTTTATTTATGTACTTCTCTGGTGCACACTGGGGAGTCCTACATGTGCATTCCAATGTAGTTATTCTGAAAATCGCAAATTAATCTGAATGTGAACTTTGGACTGCAGAATGCGAGCAGACATTTAGGTTTTTGATCTTAAGTGGGTGTATAGTGAACAGTTTGATGCCTGAGCCTGACCTCCAGCACGTCCTTTCCCTGGACGCCTCCCTGCAGCCTCCACTGCTTGAGGAGGCAGCGCAGCTTCAGACTGAGCAGCAGCAGCGTGTGCTTCAGGTGCTGGGACTCCTGCAGCAGGAGGCTCCTCTCCTGAGTCCAGAGCTTCTGATGCAGCCGAGCCTGCAGCCCCACGCTCTGCAGCTGGAAGTCTCTGCGCACCAGGGCCTTGTGCTGCTCCTCCTGCAACTGCACACAAACACCACAGCCAATTTAAGTCAATTTATTCTTCTATAGCCCTAAATCACAACAGTAGTTATCTCTGAGGACTTCACAAACCGTTCAAACACAAGAAATGCCATGATAAAAATCACGTAGAGCCGTTGATCCATAAGGAGCAGAGGCCAATGTCCATAAATGTTGTTGAATGTTGAGTGTCCTGGATCATCACCAGAGTGTGCTAATCTACACGCTCAGAGAAAGCCAACAGTCCCTTTGAACACCCGATAACACACTTTTTTTTCAATGCATCACAACTACACCATCACACAGACTCAAAAAGAACATTCGTCATTCATTCAGGATTCTGATTTACACAGCACCATCCCCACACTCAATAACTACATTTCCTAACTTTTGTGGCAATCTTCGGCAATAATAACAGTGATCTAAACACGCATACGCACACACACACACACACACACACACACACTAAACTGGATTAGAATCTTCAAACCCGGTTAGAATCCCCCCTCCCTTTAGCATAAATCAACTCCACTCCTACTTTACGGTCTATGGTTGCAGTCATAAAGAACATGTGAAAGGGTACACAAGAGAATGGATCCAAATAAATCTCCATAAAATCTGAAAGCTAACATGACACCATCTGAGAGAAAGCTGTAAAAGTAAAATATAGAGTCTACTTTTAGTCCTTATGGGGATCTGTGCCTTTTGAAGATCATTCAACTCTCGTTCTTTGTATGTAAACATGAGACAGCAGCGAGTAAGAAAGTACCTGTGTGATTCTGTGAGAGAGTGTGTCGTGACATTGCTTCTCCTTCTCCAGCTCCTCCTGCGTTTGGAACAACTGTGTTTGAAGATCTGCACACTGGAACAGACGGAGACGACGCATCAACCCCGAGAAAACCACAACCAGGAGCACATTACAGCCATTCAGATCAAAGAGAAACACGAGATTCTATCCAAACTAACTATCAAGACAAATGAACCCGGTTAAGCTCATTTTGGATTACTATCGGATACATTTTAACACTACTACTAAAAAATTAAAACAATCTAAACTCAGTGTTCCCTGTCATGTTGAACCCTTGCTCTGTGACAAGCAGCACAAGTGTAAGTCCATGCACCGAGCTAGATCTCTGTGTCTGTCTCTCTCCACACGGACCATTAGCTGTGGGTGCGATCATCGACCCAGCCTTGTACCACTAACGCCCCCCTAGTCTCTCCTGTCTCACCCCCCTCTCCGATTTTTCCTCTCTTCCCCCAAAAGGACTAGGCTCCAAACCCAGGGAACAACATACACGTCTAATACATACAATCAAAAACGGACATTGTTGAGCTATTCCAAGTCAAATATTAGTATTTAGGATGATTTAGCATAGTTAAGATTGAGAGATTCTTTATTCGTCCCACAGTGGGGAAATTTCAGTGTTGCATCACCGGCCACAGAGCAGTAGGAATGGGGGGCACACAGCACAAGGTAAATAAACAATAACTCTATACTAAATTAAAGTAATATCTCTAACTTTGGTCTGGGTCCGAGTAAGTACCTGGCATAGAACACACTGCCAAAAGTAATGAATTATAAGTCCAAAAAAGGCTCAAATTTGGCTAAATGTACAGTATGTTAATTTGAGCAGATTCTGACTGCCATAAAAGACGATTTGCCAATGGGACAAAGCAAAAGGATCTTGTTTGAAAAAAATACAAGAAATGTCTCCCTTGGAATGAAAAAATTAAACAACAATTTTTGAAGAAAGGCGCTTTGTCCCTTTGGCAAATAAGAATGTCCTCAAATAAAAAATAAAAAAAAACACTTGATTAAAGCAATTATTAGAAAGATGGATTATTGCAGACTCGAGGTCCAGGTCATTTTTGCAGTGCAGGGACTGAGGAAAAGTGGCAGTTTGGTGTTGGATCAGTAACGTACAGGGAGAGAGACTATGTATGTATCGTAACAGTACTAATACTTTCTGATGGTAAATTGTATCTTTTCTTGAACTATAAATATTGCGATCAGACGCCCTTCTGCACTTCTTTTCACACGCCTCTTCCTGGTGCTGCTGTTTGTGTGATGTCACATTTTACTTCATGCCTTACTGAACCCATTAGGGCAAACATGCTTCTGTGGAGACCTGAAAACAAGGGAACTCTCATCCAGCAGTCATTTTGGTAGTTTCACGTGTCCACAAATGACGAAAACTTACTTGACAAACCATTAAAGCAGTGGCTAACTTTGTTCATTAATACATTTTGTTATATCCAATAGAAAGAGTTTTGTTTAAGTGACATTCTGTGATCTTTTACATACTGAGAGCTGATTGGCTGAGAGTGAGCTGGTCCTCTCTGTTCCACTCACAAGGCTGATCTAAAGATGTAACTGCACTGTTAAGAGAGCGAGGAACTAGTAGCATGGAGTTAGCTTTGTGGTACTAAGAGATTCCAGTCATTTAGACCTATTTAGACGATCAGACAAAACAGAATGATTTTGCATTTTTCCTTGTCAGCTTTTATTGTAGGTTACAAGATTCATTTCACACACACACACACTGGTTACTATAGAAACCTCCAGTGAAGGCCAAACAAACAGCCTCTGGTTTCCTCTGTGTTTAATGAAGCCGTGTGTTTAGAGAGTGTCCCATGTGAGCTACTGTACATGTGCACTGATCGACCTCAATGACCTTTTAATACATGGAAAAATAATGCAGTGGGATTGAGAAAGATTGAAGTTTATCAAAGATGGTAAAACACATGAGAAGAACTTACAGTAGTTGCCTATTATTCATTCTACAGTTTACAGATGCAAAATTACCAGGTCAAACAAAAACAATAGTTTGAACAAGTATGCCTTGATCATTCTATTGTGTGATAATCAGTTATGAATTATATAACTATATATAACTATAATTATATAACTGTTTACTGTTTGTTAAATAGTAACAGTGTGTGTGTGTGTGTGTGTGTCTCTCTCTGTGTGTGTCTGTGCCTGTTATAATCATGACTGTTTGCAATTTAGTAACTGTGTGTGTGTGTGTGCGTGTGTGTGTGTGCGTGTATGTATGTATGTGTACATAGGTGTGATAGCTTCAGGTCTTTTTGTATTGTCTATTTATTACTAATGTTTCACCAAACAAGCAAAATTATCTTGTTTTAAAAATCTCCAATGAGAAAAAGTTCTTGAAATAACACTAAATGGCTTTGTCCTATTGGCAAATCTTGTTTTAAGTCAGAATATACTCAAATTGAGACTCAAAACACTTTATTACCTCATTGTTTACATTTTTTGCAGTGAAGTACTGTAATACTTCACTGTACTGTCCAATGCAAAACTTTCACGTACCAGTGCGTTCTGTGGCTCCGGTCGTGAATCCTCTGTGTTCTCTGATTGGCTGCTCTCCGGCGGCTGAGCTCTGCCCTCCACCTCTGATTGGTCCCTAGAGTCAGGCTGCTGTATGCATGCATGGGCACGTTAATGACCAAAACAAAACACAAAATGTGGAACAGGAGGATGAATTTAACCAAAGAACACAGGCGGAGGGATGGAGAAGAAAATCAAAGAACGTAATATACAGTGTGGGAATGTGAAATAATAAGGTGAAAAGGGGGGAGGGGCGGGGGGGGGGGGGGGGGGGGGGGGGCAGACCTCACAAGACAAAAAACAAGATGTAGAGGAAAAAGATTTTGGTCAGAGACGAGAAGGACAGGGTGGAGCAAAGGAAGAGGAGTAGGATGGAAGGAAGGATGAGCGGCTGAGGAGAGAGGAGACGAGACAAGGAGGCAAGGAAGGAAGGAAGGCGTTAAGGATGGAAGTCAGAAAGGGCCGATGAGGGGAGGTTGCGGGGGGTACGGGTGAGACGGGGGTGTGAGGGGAAGAGAGGGCAGCCCAGGCACAAACACAGCAGAGGAAGGGGAGGAGAGGGGGTGGGGAGGGGGGGGAGTAGGGAGTTGGAATTGGCCTCAGATGGAGCGGTGTAAAGCGAATTAAAATATCCACGCAATCACTATGTTTATAAGCACAGAGAGCATGGAGGGTGTTGACTTAAATATTGCGCAGCTCGAGTCCTGACTAGAACCAGGAAGTACCATTGTATTAGTCCTGGTCTCAGGTCTCTGCACTGGCCTCAGAGAATAGACTCTGAAGCTGCTTGGTTACAAGTCTCTCCATGGCCTCACACCAAAGTACATCTGTGACATGTCAGTGCCATATGAACCAACTCCAACTCTGAGGAGCACAGGGACTGGTCTCCTGCTGGAGCCCAGAGTCAGGACTAAACATGCAGCTAAAATCTGGAACAGTCTTCCTGAAAATGTGAGACAGGCTTTTTCTCTGACAATGTTCCAATCCAGGTTAAAACAGTTTTTTTTAGCTGTGCATACAACTGAAGGATTGTATCTTAGGCCCACGTTGAGTATGTAAACATAGTGATTTATAGATGGATTTTTATACATAACAATTGTATATCATATTTTGTACAAGGTTTTCTTATAAAATAATAGGTTCCATAGCCCTTATTCAAAACATAAACCTTATAGTCCCATTTTGGCCTCTAGACATGGAAAGACAAATGATTTTCCATATGATACAAATTGCCCATAGTTTTTCCACTTTATTTGCTGCTGTCCAAATAAAAGCCAGCCGTAACACCCTCTCACAGCTCTCGATAGGTGCCTTAAAGCAATTCCTTTTATGATGGAGTGTTTTAATAAAGTCCAGGCGAGACTGGCTTTGTGCATGAGGATGGTTGATGTGTCCAGTGTGTCCAGTGAGTCCAGTGAGTCCAGGCTCCAGGCTCCATGTGAGGCTCTCAGTGCGGGTTAGGGTCAGCTCATGCAATAGTCACAGGTCGGGATGGGCTTTGTTCAGTACAACGCAATATTAAAATGCCAAACTTCTTTATTGTCACGATTTGTGTGAAGAAAAGCATGAAATCTTTTTCAAAAATGATCATTTTGGCTGCCTTAAAACAAGATTTGCCAATGGTACAAGAAAAAATATGTTGTTTTAAAAAGATCCAATATTTAGTCTTATTTCAACAGTTCTTCAAATAAGACTAAATATTTTGTCCCATTGGCAAATCTTTAAGAATTCAGAATGATCTCAAATTAAGATACAATCCACTCAATTTAGGCATTTATTACCTCATATTTTATCATTTTTGCAGTGTTGTACTGTAGCTATCGATAGATTCTTTGAGTATTAATCTGTGTATAGTCCCATCCCTAAACACAGGGGATTGATGTTGCATTTTGGAGTGTTAAAAAAAAATCTACCATGTGTTATTTAGTTATAAATAGTCAAACTTAAGCATCTATGAAGGGCAGACTTAGATCTCGCTGACACAGGCCAAAAAATTATGTTATCAAAGGGAGCGTCCACTTTTTGGCTCTGGGAGTTCTAATAGCTTCTTATTTCTGGGTGTTAAGAAATAAGAAGTCCGAGTGTTAAGAGTGTAACATGTGTTTGTATATGCTGTTGTGTGTGTGCTGTTGTGTGTGTACCTTATGTGTGTCTGCCTCGGAGCAGACTGCAGCGGCCAGAGCCGTGTCCTCTGGTGGGACGGTCCTGTTTGATCCACAAGGGGGCACTCTGCTCAGCCCGTCCACCCGCTCCACAAAGGCCTGCAGCTGGGAGTGAAGCGCCTGGAGCCGGCTGGTCAGGGCTCCCACCAGGGGCCGGTCCGAGAGGTCAGACAGCTCCAAGATCTGGAGACAAACGCACAACGAAAAAGCCGTGATGGAGGTAAGAACAGGGCCAAAGACGCACAAAGAGGAAATATTCTCTCGAGTTGGTTCCTCCATTGAAAACCATCACAAATTATAAATGCAATATAATAAATGCACTATGGAGCTAATAGTGGTCTCAAACATGCAGCCCGAGGCTCCCACTGAGAGTTTTGCAATTAGGGCGTGTTACACATAGTTTTGAGGCTACTTGTATCAAGAAAACTATTACAACAATCAATATTTATTAACCATAAATATTGACCCTTGAATGCAAAAAGCAATAATTTAAAGGAAATATTAAACCCAATACAAAGCCTAATTTCTTTTTGTACAGTTTTGTTTTAATCCAAGCAGCAGAAGTAATTATTTGGTCAAAAACTTCTCAAAATCTTATCAAAAGTAACAATCAAAGATGAAGAGAAGCATTCCCAACATAAACCCCTTTACCTGGCTGTTGTTACTCTGAGATTTATCCTGGTCACGTGACTCGGCTGCCTCTTCCTGATTGGCCGCGCTCTCGTGGGTGCAGACCTTGTGGTAGAGGGAGCTAGACTCGGGGGACACCAGGAGCTGGATGGCAGTGGAGACGAGCCGGGCCTGGTCCCTCATGGACAGCAGAGCGTCACAGTCCTTTTGCACCAGAGGAGACAAGTCCGCTGCCTCTTCACTCTTTCGTCGGTGCTCTTTCACATCGGCGGGGTCTGTCTCGCCCCCTACAGGCTCGCGGCGAGACGGCGGGCTGGAATAAACAGAGGAACCTGAGACTTGTGCATGAGATGTTAGATACTCTACTACGCTATGACACAGACAGGGAGAATGTATATGAAACGATCTGAGCCAGAAGCAATTTCATTTTCTTCTAGCATCTCATTTTCAAGAGGGTCCCATGAACATAAAACAACACATAACATTTACATATTGAACACACACAGGGCAGGTTTCTGTATACATTCATCAAATACAGTCCATACATACAGCAGCAAGAAGAATAATTTAACTTAAAATGTACATAACAAAGTCCAATTATAAACATGAAAATGTATGAAATCCTCAATACACAGCCAGCAACATGAGCAAGCAGTTGTAAGGAGTCTAAATAATGACTATCTTTTTGTCATAACCTTCACACATGTTAAGTGTGGTGTACCTGGGCAGGCATTCAGCGGAGTCTCCAGCCTCGGCGTCAGTGTCCAGGTCGAGCCTGGTGCTGGAGGAGGCGGTGTTGTAGGAGGCCAGGTCACACCTCTGCAGGTTGGACAGCAGCACTCGGTTCTCGTACTGCAGCTTCTTCAGCTTCCCGCTCAGCTCGCCCATCTGCAGCCGCGCCACACGCAGCTCCTCCTCATGCGACGGGGCGTTCACGTTTATGAGCACCGCACCTGGAAACCAAATTCAATTCCATTTATTTTTGTAGAGCCCTAAATCACAATGGTAGGTACCTGGAAGGACTTTACAAAGTTGCTGATTAGCCTCTCTTCTCCTCTCTCTCACTCCTCTGTGCCAAACTGTCACATTTCTCCTTTCTTGTTCCTTGTCCCTCCCTCTCTCCTCTCCTCTCACTCCTCTCTCCTCCCCCCTCTCCAAACTCTCACTCCTCTCCAAACTCTCAGTCCTCTGCTCCAAACTGTCACATTTCTCCTCTCTTGTCCTTCTCTCTTCTCTCCCTACTCTCACTTCTCTCTCCTCTAATCTCTTCTCTAAAAACTCTCACTCCTTTCCCCTCCTCTCTCCTTCACTTGTCCCTCTCCAAACTCCCACTCGTCTCTCATCTCCTCTGCTCTCTCCACTTCTCTCCTCACTTTATTCTTCCCTCTCTGCTCTCCCCTTCCCTCTCCTACCCCCTCTCACCTGTCCTCTTCTTTCTCCCCTCTCTCCCACTCTATTATCCCCTCTCTTCACACACCTTGGATCTTTATAAAAACTTGCCATTACACACCTTCTTGTATGGACTGCACCGGACTGTCGAGTAAGCCGTCCGTCAAAGAGGCCAGCGAATTGGACGAGAGAGAGGGCGGGAACTCGGACTTGTAACGGTTGATCTCGTTCATGAGGAGCTTGTTCTGCTCCTCCATCTCCGTCAGCGAGCGCCGCAAGAGCTCCGCCTCCTCCTCCACGAACTGCAGGTGGCGCTGTAGCTCCATCACGTTCTCAGACGACGCCGCGCCCCCGAGAACCATGGCTCCGCCCCCGAGGCCAGGGCTGAAGCTGCCTCCCACACCGGCCAGGTCCGGGGAGATGTCTGCAGAAGGAACACATCTGTGAGACTGACCTGCTTTACCCCTAATCGTGTCAAGAGCACAAGTGCCCTGCAAAGAGTGATAGAAAAAAATTCAAAGATAGCTCCAAATATACTGCAAAAAATGATAAAGCATGAGCCAATACATGCTTGAATCGAGTGGTTTCTATGTTAATTTAAGTGGTGTCTTAAAACAAGATTCTCAAGCCATTTAGTCTTACTTCAAGAACTGTTGCATCATTTTCTCATTCCAATAGAGACATTTCTTTTATCTACTTAAAACAAGATCATTTTGCTCATTGTCCCAAATTGACAAATCTTGTTTTAAGGCACTAGGATTATAGATACATTTAGCCAAATGTGAGCCATTTCATTCTTATTTTTCATTACAGTTTGCATTGTAGGCTGAATGTATCTTGATAGTCTTATAACAAGATTAGCAATGCTTGTTGTAGCCCCAGGTCTCCAAGATGGTTGTCCATTCAAACCAATCATCCCAAATATTTGCATGAGTGGTACGTTTTGGCCAGCTCTGGTTCTCCTGGTTTTAAACAGTTGAAGTATAGGTTTATTGTTAAAAAAGACCGGTGAAGAAAAGTCTCACGTTCCCCTAGGAGGAACAAAAGAGACACTTATGTTTGTGGTGGCTGCTTTTGAAGTGGCTACCAGATTAATTCTGCAGATTTGGAAAAACCCTCACCAGCCCAAAATCAAAGATTGGATAAGACTGTTCACTGAGACGGCTGCTTTTGAGACATTTATCTTTAGAACATAATGCCCAAAGTAAAGCCTTTGGCAGGGAAAAAGGGGATCCTCTCCTTGTGATCAGAGGAGGGCCCAAGTAAGACTGGTTAGATACAAGTAACTTTTAGAATGGAGAAAGTGGCAGATTATATAGTATTGGAAAGAAGAGAAGTCCCTCAAAAGTCCATCGATGTCTCTTTTTGTGTTGCCTTTGTCTTCTATAATATCAGGTGTAAATACATAATGTTGTGTAAAGTATAAACGTGTCCTACTAAACCAATACAAAAACAATTGAAAAATAGTAAAGTCCCTGTTTAAGAATCCAAATCAGAAGCAGACAGAGGACAGGAGTGTGTACCGTGAGGCCCCTTCATGTCGTCCATCTCTGCTCGGAGGCCGCGGTTCTCCACCTCCAGCTCCACGATGCGACGACTCAGAAGGTTGGCCTCGTCCTCCACCAGCTTCAGGTGAACGCGCACCTCTGCCTCCCGTGTGTGCGGCGAGTCTGCCACCTGAAACAAACGGTGTGTGCCACATTAAGTATACGACTCATCTTTATTTATATACCGCTTTTCACAGACCAAGGTCACACAAAGAACTTCACGAGAGCAGCTTCACTGACAGACTTATTCACCCTCGCCGTGTGAAGGAGAGGTTCCGCAGGTCTTTCCTTCCTGTCAGACTGTACAATGAGAAATGCTCCGCCTGTACATTATACATAGTAAACGCTATAATCATGTGCAATGTGCAATACCAATAATCTACCCTTTATAGAGAATGTATTGATATTCAAGCATCTATAGCTAGCTAAGAATCATAGCAGCTACTTATATTGTATATTTTGTGTGCTCCCTGTGTGCTCTTACTACTGTCCTGTATAAAGGTTCTGTTATTTTAACAAATTAGCAGAAATACACATGACAAACTGCATGTTTATTATTTTGCAGTATACAGTAGGAGACGAGACACAATTTTCACTGGACCTAAGGCAAGCTTGGGTTCACAAGAACAAGCCAAGATAGAGACAAGGCAAGGTTTATTTGTATCGCACAATTCATACACAAGGCAACTCAAAGTGGTGAAGAAAACACGATAAAAACAATACATAAGATAAAGATAAAACCCCTCAGTTGTGGAAACATCTAAACTGTTTTTAACCTGGATTTAAACATTGTCAGAGTTTAGAAGGACTGCTCCAGATTCTTGCTGTATAAATCTGAAATGCTGCCTCGCCATAAGTTCTGATTCTGAGCCGTGAACTTGAATCAATTATTCTCAGTTTTAAGCATAAACTGTATATAGATGCTAACCCGCTAGCGCAATGTAGCCCAGTAGGGAAGTGCTCATGAACAACGTTTTGGACCAACACGCAGACCACGTCAAACATGAGTCTTTTATGTTCCTTCACATTTTAAAGAGCAGACTAAATCTCTTTTGGAGATGCAGATGCAGGAGGAAATGTCAAAACGCCTCATGAATAAAAACTCCCAGCTGCGACTTGAGAGTATGATTCTGTCTTTGAACTTCTAATCACATTTTCTCACAAACACAGCCCTCGTCTACATTTTATCAGACGCAAATCATAGTTTTACAAAATATCTGGCGCACAAGATTTCACTGCCTTTAAACCCAACACAACAATGATTAGATTTTTGCTATATTAATTATGGGCTGGAGAGTCGGACCTCCTCTCGCTCCTCTTGACCAGCTCCAGCTCTTGTTCTCTTGTTTCGCACTAATTCCCTCATTAATCTTCCGTCCTCTTACATCTCTCTCACACCTCCACACTCTGGCTGCAGCACTCGGGGAAAATATCTAAATTTGGGAGACGTTTGGAAACCTTTTCTTAAATTTGTAAGAATGATAACTGTTATTTCTTCTTTAATGTTTGAAATACAGTGTGTAGTGTAATACACTTGTCCTATAAAAATACATTGAATTAGGTTGAATCTATATTTTGCACCTCCTTCTCTCTGGCGCCTGCAGTCTCTCACCTCCTCCTCAGGACCATCACAGTCTCCCGCCTCCTCCTCCTCTCTGACACCTGCAGTCTCTCACCTCCTCTTCTCTGGCCCCTGCAGTCTCTCACCTCCTCCTCATGATCACCACAGTCTCTCACCTCCTCCTCATGACCACCACAGTCTCCCGCCTCCTCCTCTCTGACCCCTGCAGTCTCTCACCTCCTCCTCATGATCACCACAGTCTCTCACCTCCTCCTCATGACCACCACAGTCTCCCGCCTCCTCCTCTCTGACCCCTGCAGTCTCTCACCTCCTCCTCATGATCACCACAGTCTCTCACCTCCTCCTCATGACCACCACAGTCTCCCGCCTCCTCCTCTCTGACCCCTGCAGTCTCTCACCTCCTCCTCTCTGACACCACAGTCTCTCACCTCCTCCTCTACAGTCCCTCTCCTCCTCCCCTCTGACCCCTGCAGTCTCTCACCTCCTTCTCCTCTCTGACCCCTGCAGTCTCTCACCTCCTTCTCCTCTCTGACCCCTGCAGTCTCTCACCTCCTTCTCCTCTCTGACCCCTGCAGTCTCTCACCTCCTCCACGGTGATGTTAGCGTCCACGTCTCCGTACACAGAGCGAAACTTGGACAGCTCCTCCTTCATGGCCTCGCTCTCCTTCACCAGTTTGGAAAGCTTCTTACACATCAGTGCCGACTCCTCTTTGGCAAAGTGCAACTGGCATTTCAGGTCTGAGTTGTCCTCCTGGAACACACACAACCAGAGAGAAGGTCAAAACACCACTTATTACCACTTAGACAACGCAATCACCACATGTTAGTTTTGAACGCTCTGGAGTAGCATGCTTTCTAATGGAGAGACAAAGGAGAGAGGGAGAGGAGAGGGGAGAGGAGAGAGAGTTTGAAGTGGGTCTATATAAAAAGGTTTCCAAATAAATGTTTGGTAATTAATGCACTTCGGTTGATGGAACACACAACAAGAGAGAAGGTCAGAGCAGAGAGGAGAGTAGAGGGGAGAGGAGGGGAGAGGAGGGGAGAGAGGGTGGAAAGGAGGAGAGAGGGAAAGGGGAGAGGAGAAGAGAGGTTGGGGAAAGGTGAGAGGAGAGGAGAGCTGAGAGGTGAGGGGAGGAGAGGAGAGAGGTCGAGAAGCTGGAATCACTATTACGTCCAATGAGTAGTGGCTCTTTAACATTTCTACATGTTTTTAAAAAATAAATGTTTGGGTATTTAATGCTCTTTGGTTGTTGTAAAGTGCGCAAAAAAGTCAGACTGAAAATAAATCAATAACATGTGAATGATTTAAAGCTGAAGTCCCTAAATTTTCTTCTATGCAAATGCATGTTGTTTGTTCCAACAGGAAAATAAATCAGACCCCAACATGTCTCTCCTTCCTCTCTCTCCTCTCTCCCTTCCACCTCACTCCCCTTTCTTCTACTCTTCTACCCTTTCCTCTGTCCCCTGTTCTGTCTCTCCTCTCCCCACTCTCTCTCTCTCCACTGCTGCTCTCCCTCACCTCTCCTCTTTCCCCTCCTCTCCTCAATCAATCAATCAATCTTTATTTGTAGAGTGCCTTTCCTACACAGGGCAACACAAAGCGCTTCACAATCCTCTCCTCTTCTCATCCCTCTCCTCTCTCATATCCTCTCCTCTTCCTCTCCTCTCTCATATCCTCTCTCCTCACTCCCCTCTCCTTCCCCCCTCCCGCCACTCCTCTCATATCCTCTCCTCTTTCCTCTACCCCACCCTCCTCCTCTCTCTTCTCCCTCTCATCTCCCTCTCCTCTCCTCTTCCTCTCCTCTCTCATATCCTCTCTCCTTACTCCCTCTCCTCCCTCTCCTCCCCCCCATCCCGCCACTCCTCTCATATCCTCTCCTCTTTCCTCTACCCCTCCCTCTCCTCTCTCTCTTCTCCCTCTCACCTCCCTCTCCTCTCCTCTCCTCTCCTCTCTCTCATACCCTGTGTATTAATAACAATAAACAATAGCCCCATTCGCACTGGCCTAGATCACCCTTTTCACATTCTGTCGCTGAAGTGAGAGCTGTGTTTGTTTAACAGCAGAGTCTCCAGATGTTTCCATGATAAGTTCCATTTAAGGCTGTGGTCTGGACCCGGCCACAGAGAGACACGTCAGGGTGAGAACTGAGCCCACCGCTGCCCTAAATACTTTTTATAGATATTTGAAACAGAAGTAGGGAAGTATTAGCAGCTTTTTGAGTTTGTTTGTGGCCAATGAGTATGCATAAAAAACTAACATGGAGAAAAAGTTACAAGAGTGTTGGCTTGGCATCATTCCAAATTGGAGACCAGGAAAACGAATGCTTCAAAGTTGGAATCACTATTAAGTCCAATGGGTAGTGGGAAAACATTATAAAGATTCTAGTAACAAGACTTTGGAATAAATGTTTTGGTTTTCTATGTTACGGCTCTGGGTCTGAGCCTTTTGTGCAAAGCATCCCCTCCCTCTCTGTGTGTTTTTGATGAGATCGGACCTTTAGTGCCTTAGTGCATTTTGGTTATTGTCCAAGTCCAAGTTGTGGCTAAACAAAAAGAAGGCATGAGAATGATTTAAAACTGGGATACTTAACCTCTTCATTCATTTATTTTCAACCCCTTTATTAGTCCATTTCTGGGTCAGGGGGTGGCAATGAGAGCTGCCACCCAATGCTCATAGCACCAGTCCCTCGCTGATCCTCTGCAGGTTAATATGATAGATCCATAGCTGCTACATTAGTAGTGCCACAGCCTTGGTGTTTGAGCTGGAGCTTCAGGCAATGTGGGGTGTGTCTTGCCCAAGGACACAACGACAGAAGACATTAGTGGGAGCAGTTGGAGTAGGTCCCGAGGTGGGCTTGAACCAACGACCATCCAGCCCAAAGGCCAATGATCTACCAACTGTCGCCCCTACTTAATCTCTATTTTATCAAAATATTACATGTTTGATCCAACAGAAAGAACATTGATGCAGTAAAATGTAATCCAACATGTCTGGCTGGATGAAATCTGTCAACATGTTTTATAGAAGGCAGAGAGACGGCCAGCCCTGTTATGTAAGACATTAGTCACAAGGGCATCCAGCACTTTAACCCAGGAGTCGGCTACTGCTAAGAATCTGGATTTAAAAATATGAAATACAACATATCAAAATGTTGACACCAGGATCACAGAGAGCACAAAACCACAGATAGTTCTTAAACTCAATATGGTGAGGGTGACACAAACAGTTATTGAAAGTATTTTAATATATGAAGGAGCAATATTGGGCTTCATTGATTACTAAAGATTACTTACTCATTGAAAAGTGTTTGAAGCTCATTGACACTACCAGTAGCTCCTCAAAAGGATGTAGAAATGATATACAAATGAATAATTCAAAAAGTATGATTAATAGGCACACAACTATTGTAAATTAAAACAAAAGCTGTATTCTCATGTCTACATTACATATTCCATTCATCTGATAATTGATGATGATTGACTGTTCTGATAATTCACTAGTCACTTCACTAGTCACTTCACCTGCTGCTATTATTACTAACCCTTGTTACTTGTTTTTCTGGTCATATTCCCTGCCGCTAAAACACAATATATATGTAAATACCTCCTGCTAACGACAAGTGACTTATCCCTGAACCAAGTGCAATAATGGCTCCAAAGTTTAATATTATTTAATTATATCATCTTAACTAATAGATCCTGTTTCACTGCCAATTTTATACCTATTTTCTCCTTCTATTTAGCTGTAATATGTGCAACGCTGACATTGAAATTTCCCCACTGAGGGACAAATTTAAAGTTTTATTTTTATCTTATCTTGATAAATTATATAGAATGGACCCCCTTGAAAACGAGATGGCACATATCAAGGCGCACTCCATTAATAAACTAATCGAAAACTAAACTCAGAATGACAATTAATAGTAAGGCTAAATACTAAGGCTAAAGCTCCCATAAATAAATCTAAATTCCCCCCAGATGGTTAAGGAGTAGCTCGCTGTCATTTTGGTCCTGACAAAGTAGCTCTCTGGGTGAACAAAGTCTGGAGACCCTGATGCACAGCCGATAGTCCCTCCAAGAGAAATCATCACTTGTGTATAAATATATCCCGAGGCAAGTACTTGAAAGTCGTCCTGGTCATGTCTGGCCCCTCTCCCCTGTCCCTCGGTCGGCAGGTCTTGTCGGGTCACTGCATGTTTGCGTGTCCTGCGTGTGAACCATATTCTGGAGGTTAATCTTTCCATTGCGCTCACAGCGAGAAGCCTCTGCCTCAGCGTTTTTCTGATCTCCTCGTCCTTCAGCGCGTCTGCAGGTGGCCAACTTAATATGATCCGTCCTCACTCTGTTCGGATTGGAATTACAGATACGGAAGACAGGATTCATATCAAAACATGTTCAGAGTTGGGTTTCTGACATTATGTTACAGGATTGTAGCGTGGATTCTGGTTGCTGTATATGAAAACTATATTCTAAAATAAACGGTGTCTCTTCTTTCATAAATATTCTGTGCGTAAGTTTAGATCTACTACTTTTATCTGCCGCATTTGTACAAACAAGAAAGAGATCTTAATATTTGCATTTAAAAGTACATAAAGTGCTCATGTTTTATGTGTGTCCCGGACAGTGTTGGGCACGTTACTTTGAAAAAGTAATTAGTTATAGTTACTAGTTACTTCTCCCAAAAAGTAACTGAGTTACTAACGGAGTTACTCGACTATAAAAGTAACTAGTTACCAGTAAAAGTAACTATTGCGTTACTTTTTCGTTTTGTTCTGGAACATAATGTGCACTCGACGTGCGCATTTTTACCTTTAACCTCAGTGAGTCTGAAATAGTGCCAATATTTCCATCTAGAAAAGGCTGTTTTGCTGCTGAAGTCCTGTTCACTCTTCATCTCTCTCTGTGCTGTAAGCACTAAACACCAACACGCTCCACTGTGAATGTGGAAACACCGGTGAAGCACCGACTTCAGCCCAATCAGATGAACATATATATCATATAAATCAAGTGGACAGTTTGTTTGGCTACAGCAAAATATGTTTCATGCCTGCATTGTTTGTTCATACAAAATGCAAAACTATGAGTTATGGGTCTTACCTTATATATGACCTGCACAGGCCACTTCGATTCAGACCAGTTCCGTGTTTAAGTCCAGATAATAGTTTGAGCGTAGATATGTAATCCTCCATTTGGAAATGAGTCCAATGAGTTTTAAAAAGTAAAACAAAACGCGTGTGTCCTCCATAAACTCCTCTGTTTTGCTGCAGCCGGGTGCATCCGATTTATAAAATCAACCGTCTTACACTTCACCTCTCTTTCTTATCATTCCTATAGTCATTGAAAAATAACCCTAAGTGCATTTTAAATTATCTTAAAATGTGTTATATGTATGTTAGCCAAACCTGTTGCTGTCCTTAGCAGATAAACCAGGAGGAGAAAGGAGCTTATCGATGGAATTGTATGCAGCCGACTTCTGCGCTCACATGCGCTCCTCTGTGGCTGACCTCACGGTGATACAAGCCGTGGTTGAGCGCAATTAAGACCCATATTTGTTTCAAAAACACAATTTATGAGCCATCCTCTCAACTGTAGACATGTAGATTGTAAAGGAAATATGTTTTACATGAGCCAATAATTGCTGAGAGCTTTTCTCATCCTCCCTTCTCTCATGACAACACGCGCACGAGTCCTATCACGAAGTAAAAAGAGAAGTTCATTGTGCGTCTTGAGTAACGCGCAGTAACGGGATGTCGGAAATGATAACGGCGTTATAGTTACAGTCAAAGTAATTAGTTAGATTACTCGTTACTGAAAAAAGTAACACCGTTATTCCCATCACTGGTCCCGGATTAAAAAGTCACATAATAATAATAATGCAATGTTTTGTATACCGCTTTTTTGTGTGCTACCGTAGCCACAGCTGCCGTGGGTCAAATTTATAGAAGCGAGGCAACCAGTATGTGTCATTGACCCCTCCAACCAACACAAATCATTCACACACAGACCCGACGCACTCTGGGCAATGTGCTTCTGAGGTCTGACGGGGTCTGGTTTTTGCATGCAGGTATGGCCACATGTACATCAGATTAGACCTGTTATAAAGTTATTCTTTTATGAAAATACAATGGACATGACTTCATAATATTCATGTTTTCAGGCAGATTATCCAACCAGAGTGAGACCCTGGAATTTTCCTGATTGGCATTTTATACATCATTCTTGCTTCTTTATTATGCTTAAGCTTTGTACATGTGTTCCAATGAGGTTTTACTGAAAATGACAATGAATATGAATCTGCACACTTTATGAACAAAGTGAAAGATGATTTAACACCCTATTCTCAGAAGTTTACCAGGATCAGGTCACATGAGGGCTGCTATTTGAAGTCTATAAAGGTCTTGTTTTGTGCTGAGGAGGTTTGTTTATCAGTAAATACAGCTGCATTCACCGACCTGTGGACACGGCTTCTTCTCTGCTTTGTTGTTGGCTCGGGCTCCTCTTTTCTTCTGGGAACTCTGGAAAACACAAAAAGAAAAGGAAAAGTTTATTTTAACTGGACGGCAGCTTTCAAACATCCAGGGTTGTATTTAAGGTTGCAAACAGTAACGAGGTAAATACAGTGTGCATCGTGCCATGTTTCATTTCCAAAGCTTTTCTTTTAAACAAAGTCAATACTTGTGTTTTGCTTCAGTAGCGAGATGTCAGGCTCCTCGGCCTCTCCATCTCCACTTCCCCATTTTACTTTGAATTAGACATTTTGGATCAAGTTAGCAATCAGCAGTATTTGTTTTTTTAACTTTGAGTCAAAAAAGCTGGGCTCACAAAGCAGTTTATCCAGATAAAATAGAGAAAGATAAAAGTGAGGAATACACACACACACACACACACACACACAGGGGAACATACACAAACAAACAGAGGAACGCAGGCACATAGAGAAAAGGAATGTGCACACACACACATTGAGGAACACAAACACACACACACACACACACACACACATACACAAAAAAACAGAAGAACGCACACACACACTCACAATTCACATACAGAGAAACGCGCAGTATCCTACACCCTCAGCATCCTACACCCTCAGCATCCTACACCCTCAGCATCCTCCTTCCCTCACTTCCAACCGGCCCACCATCGTTGTCATGGAAACAGAGTCGTTCCGGCCAAACGGCGGCAACAAAAGACTGGCGCGCGCAGAGACGGCGGTGGAGGCGCGAGGAGGAAGAGGAGGAGGCGCTAGGTGAGAGCGGCGTCTGAAGAGGGAATAATGAGCCATTTTACACTGAATAGTAAATATTAGAGGCAGACACTGAAATGTGTGGGAGAGCTAGCTACAAATGCTATTTCAGTGAAGTAAACAGTTCGAGTGGTTCAGATCGTGTAGGGACAGGGAAGGATTGAGAAAACTGCTTTATGGCCGCATGAGATGGACATCAAGCTGACGTCCAAATTCATAAAAATACTCTCAATCCTCAGCTTTTTTTGCTCTTCCTGTTATTTAAAAAATCCAGAAAATTCCAACTCATGTTAAAAAGCATTAAGCAAATATACAAAACATGAGCTTGAAATTCCTCACTACAGAAACAATGGATATTTTGGTATACAAGGGCAGCCGATTAACAGATTTGAAATTTGACACCGAATAGTAAATAAAGGCAGACGACGGAATATGTGGGACGGTCAGCTGTGAATGCTATTGAGAAAACAGCCACAGTATAAGGCCACATGAGATAGACATCAAGCCAGTATCCGGATTCCTAAAACTAATCTCCAGCTCCAGGTTTAGTCTAGTGAACAATAAAACCTTTTAAAGAATTATTGAATGCCACCAAGCACAAAACAATGGATTAGGAAGAATAAGGCGGGGTTATTTGTGAATTTGGATGCAGTCTATTGTATGTACTGGGTGACAGAGGCAAGGCGAGTTTTTTGTTTACACACTGGTGTGTCAGTGGCGACTGTGTGGCATGAAGACATAGATATTGGTACAGTACATACAGAAGCATGGATGCGACGCATACTTTGTAAGAGTTAGTGGGTGAAATGCACTATATAGAAACAATTTAACACAATAAGATCGGAGGAGGTGTAAGGCTTTCTTCTGAGCCCGCAAACATTTCTAGCGTTTTTTGCTGTTCTTTTCCAAAGGAATTAAAAAAAACCTTTTCTAGACCCCAACAACCTTTTTCCGGCCCATACAACCAACCACACAACAAGAATGGACCATTTGGTTCAGTGTGTAGAATCCCCTGTAGAATCCAGGTAGCAGTCGCTGCTTTTTTGACACCCAGTCACATGACCAGTGCAGAAAAACTATTAACAACGACGCCACTCAAAGATCCTCCTATAGCATAATTCATATACAATTAAACTTAACAAAAAAACAAAAACACATAACACATCCAATACTTGAAGGCTTAGACGGTTCTTCTAAATTAAAACAACAAAAGTGTTTTATATTTTATTCATTACTTTACTAATAACATGTAGTTTAGGCACCTCTACATGTTAATAACAAACAAAGTAGCTAATTTACTCCAATGGGGAGAAAAATGAATACTTTTCTTGTGTCCACAAGCAGAAACATACTTTTTCCCCAGCAAGGATGTAATATATAGGTGTAAATCCAAACACCAAACTGCTAGTACGCCATCTTCTATTTCCTACACGTATATCATGTCCACTGCTTCAGCACAAATTTCTCCGCTAAAATTGGCCTGAATGATTGTCATTTCTGAGTCAGCGCTTTGGTGAAGCTATAATTGCAGTTCTTTTCCTCTCCAACGTCAGCAGCCCCAGGACAGCTGATCGACGCGACATCATTACCCAAAATACATGTTCTGTGTGTCTCTGTGCGGCCAGCCTGGAACCGGAGCAGCGCCAGGTTCACTTTAAACTAGTCCCTAATAGTCATGTCTGTGGGCGAGCCAGACAAAACTGAAAGCTGGAAAAATACGTGCTCTGAGAGATTTGTTTGAGGATCATATTGTGTTGCTCAACCAAGTCCTTTTTCACTTTTCTCAGAGAAAAAGCTGATCTGAAGAATTTGTTAACTATATGTGTTTTATCTAATGTGCGATATAAATAAAGTGGATTGGATTGGAAACTGGTTCTACAGCTGTCCGTCTGTGGTAGAGGGTTCTCACTTTTGGAGTTGTTCCTTGCTCATGCAGAAAGGTCTAAGGACAGTGATGATCCGGGACATTTAAGGACATTTCTGGACCAATAACATGTGTTTGTTATTATTGCATTTCTTGTGTTCGGACTATTCCATTCTCTGATCTGTTGTTGTGTAAAAGAAAACTTTGTAAAGTGTTTTTGGAAAGATGACTTCTGTTTTTTTTTTTTTATTTAAACAAAACAACATGAACATACATACATGGGGGGGAGGGGGGGAAGGGGGGAAGGTCTTCCATGTTTGTGCGTGTGTGTGTGTATGTGTTACTTATTATTTACTTTATATTTTTATAATAGAAAAAAAAAAAAAAAAAACAAAGACAATTAAAATATATATATATATATATATATATATATATATATACATATATATACAAAACCTCTTTCTCTTTTTTTTTTTTTTTTCTTTCTTCTCCTTCTCTCTTCTCTTCCTCCCTCCCCCTCCTCTCTTCCCTTTTGGTATGCATTGATTCTGCGCCAAGCATATAGATGGGAATTGGTGGTATGGTGTTACTTAAGATGGGAAAGGGAAAGAAGAAAAAATAAAAAACATAAAAAAACACACACAATGACAACAACAACAGAAAAAAAGAAGAAAATAACAGCAATAGCGACAATGGCGATGATGAAGAAAATAATTATGACCATACTAGCGTCCTTAACAGTAGCATTATTACTGGCACTCTTCCGACAGCTTTCCTCAATAGTTTGTCTGTGATTGTGTGGTGTATTAAAAATAAAAATATCTGCGTGAGGTGTTGTGCATTAAAAAGGCATGTGCCTGGGATGCTTGTGGGAAGAGTCCATATATTTATCATACAATGTGTATTAATTAAATTAAACAATATTACTTATTATTGTTGCTTCCTCACCATCACCGTTCCCTATTGCTTATTCTACATATTCAAATATGATATATCTTGTATGTGTAAATACTAATTATATAATTTATAATATTAATAGTTAAGCAGAAACTATACGAACAAAAAAATAAATAAATACATTAAAAAAAATAAAACAAGTGAGCAAAAATAAAGAGAGAGAGAAAAAAATAAGATAAATCCACAATAATAATCATAATAAGATTATAAGATGACTTCTGTTGAGATTGAGGACTCTACAAAAATGAATTGAATTGAATTGTTTTTTCTGTATCCAATTTTATGAATGGATACAGAACAAATGGATACAGATTTATCTATTGGATCCTACTGCATGTTGAGTTTAATCTGAGAGCAACGTGGATTATTCATAGTTTTTATTGAGTGACTTTCAAAATCAATACTTGCATTATTTTCAAAAGGACTTATTTTCTTTCTCACTGAGTCACAAACACAACAAAAGCCAAAGTTTCCCCATTTTAGAATCAGGTAATAGATATTGATCTGAATCCTTCCCACGAGTCTGAGGTGAATAGAGAAAAAGGCTTTTAATTTACTCCTAAACCCAGGTTAATCAAGTCTAAATCCCCCTTTGATGAGCCAGACATGCTGCTCAGAAAAGTTATTACACAATTCGGCAAGGCAAGTTTGTTTACATAACACAATTCATACACAGGGTAACGCAAAGTACTTCACAAATCCAGAAAACAATACTCAAAAACGCAGAAAAGCAGTATGACATTTATTTTAATATATAACTATGTATTCTTTAATTGTGAAAAGAAATCCCTGTTTAAACTATAAAGCAGTTTTGAATGCAGTTATGTTGAAGTGTTTGCCCCTTCAGTACACTCTGTTATGTCCACTCTCTGGGCCACTACCCTCCTCCTCCAATAACCAGCAGAACAAAGCACAGAGACTTACATAAGACCAGAGAGAGGGCAAAAAGGGTGAGAGAAATGATAATTAGACAAAAAAATGAGTCTTAAATCCACAGCCCTGTACGGCAAAATTCTTGTGTGTAAATATGTAAATTTGTGCTAATAATTGCCTGAATTGACAATGAGTGGTTTTTTTTTATCTTAATTTGAGTACAACCACACTTTCTTAAAGCATAATTTGCCAATGGGACAAAGAACTGGTGCTTTATTTTCTCATTCCAAGAGATACGTTATACTTAGTTTTACTTGTCCCACTGGCTCTTGTTTTAAGGCAGTCAAAGTGTGCTCAAATTTAAATGCATTGTACAAAATTGACTTATTTTTCATCACTTTTTTGCTGTGTGAATTGAGAATGACTGTCGTTTTCTACCACTTTCTGCACACATCCAGTTTGTTCTCGCGTTTATATTGTATGCTTTGTTGTGGATGTCACTGTTTTGCTTGGAGAAGACGAGAGCTGGGGATAAAAGCTGGAGTTGACGAAACCCGGGTGGAGTACAGCTC